TCATACTGGGCCCCCACCAGCCCTGGCCCTGGGCACCAACGCAGGCCCTGTGCTAATGCCTGTCCCCTCATTGTTTCTCACCACCGCTGCCTCTACCTGCCAGCTTGCCGGCCCCACGTGCCAGCCTAGGCACCGGCACTCCTGCTGCCCCACTCTGGGCATGGGCCCCTGCCAGCCCTGGTCCCAGGCCCTGCACTCCTACTGCCCCACCCTGGGTGCAGGCCCCCACTGGCCCTGGGCACTGGCACAGGCCCTGCACTCCTTGCCGCCGCTGCTTCAGCTGGTTAACTCAGGTGGTGGAGCATCCCACTGGAGCAGGGTGGATGGAATTATATGAAAGAATAGCACCTACAACAGCCTCAGATGCTACCATAGCAAAAACAATCGATGATAATTTTTGATGTATATTCATGATTTTTTCTTTTTCTTTTTTTTGTCATTTTCTCGTTAAAAACTACTTTTGTTTATTAATGCAAACTGAAGTGGATGTTGAGATGTGAGATGGAGATAATTATCGTGTACTTTAAAAGAAAGGGCTTGTCCCAGTAGAGTTTAATCATGCATAGCTGACACAGACCACTTTGTCTTTGTCCACAATGGCCAACATCACATCAGCTTTGTCTACAATGTTCTGGACAATCAGCTATTTTGACTGTAAAACATTTTTAAACATGATGACATTTCCTCATGCAGATGAGCTATAAGATAATGAACTTTGATGAACCTGGACTCCAGAGGAGAGGGACAACCAGATGACCCTATCAAGTGAAACAGAAGTTGAGTTTGCCTACCTGAACACCATCAAAAAAGACTGACATTTACCAAAGTAAGCACAGGAACAGCCAAATGACATAAATATTTGGGTAACAGTTCTAGTTATAGCATTACATATACTGCCATATCCAGTTAATTTATTAACCATCTAGTGTTTTAACTTCCACCAGAAAGCCTGTTGAACTTAATGGGCTTTGGCTTCTGACTTTAGATCCTCCATTTCACTATATTCTTTACAATGAATTTAGAAATCGTTAAGCCAAATTATTGTACAGGGTGCTCATGTAATATTAACTATGATGGCTGTATATTCTTTATTAAGTCTATTTTAAGAGGTGGCACTACCTTTTGGCTACTTCGATTCTTGTCTTGGCTTCTGTTTGCATGAATGGATTTTAGATAACAGTCCACATAATTAAATAAACAAAAATATCACTTACTGAATTATAAAAAAGAGGATAATACAATACTTTTGACATATATAATCAATGACAGAGAGAAATAAGAAGCAGTAGTGCTGAAAGGGACTTGAAGGTAAAAACAAAAAACAAATTAGACATCAATTTTTAATTCTAAATGGAAGAATAAGGAGGTTAGTTATCTGGGGCTCTTTATGACGTTATTTGCAAAAACTTTGCTTCAAGAAACAGAGGTATCAGTTCCAGCCTTCACGTGTACATTTGTCTGCAGCATTATGTTCAATAGTAGATATCTAATTAGCAAGAAGATAATTACAAAGTAGCAAGTGTTCCTAGCTGTAACCTTCCATGCCACTCACTAGCGCATTTTGTTCTTACTGATTTTTCGGGCACCGCCATCTGCTTTATGGTTGAAAGCTTGTCATCAGGTCAGATGTCTTGAATGTGTGTGGGCCGGGAGCGGTCCGAGGCCCTCAGGGGGTTTTTTTCACGCGGCGGGCTGTGGCCAGCAGCCCGGACATGCCGGGTCGGGGAAGGCAGGCGGCATGCTAGAATTAGGCATGGACGCTTAGTGGTTGATTTAAGATTATTTTACTTACACCAAAGATGGTCGCGGTGCAGGCAGGAAAACTTGCTTGAGTTGCAGTTATAGACAGAAAAGAAGAGAGACGGACTAGAGTTCCTTCCCGTGAACCTTCTAGCCCAATCCGGTTGAAAGCTCTAAACCGCGAGCCCGTCGTGTCAACCGAAGAAAGTAACTCGAAGCAAAGAGCTCTGAATACACTCACACGAAGTTTGCTAGGCTCCGTGGAACTTGCGCGCAGGGAAGGGTACGTCGAGGGATCAGGCGGTGACGGGGAGAGGCTAGAGGCTGATCAGACCCCTATAGGTATAAGAGACTTGGGCGGAAACCGCTCAAGCCTCTTATACGGCTAGCAGGCCAATCACTAGCCGCCACGTGGGAATAATTTAGAACTGGCCAATAGTGGGACACAAATTTGTATACGAATGGCGGGAACTCCTTGCACCGTGCATTTCTCTTTTGCAACCTAGAAATGCACCCTGCAAAGAAAGCTACGAGTGGCGGGAAATAATTTAGCAGTACCGAAGCGCACACAAACAAAAATCACACCCTTGGGTTGTGACAGAATGGTCCCTAGGGGTTCTGTTCTGCCACATCTTGTTGGTATAAGTTTACTATTGGGAGGATGGTTTTAAGTCCTGCCTCCCCTGGTGCCCTCCTTCAATCTTCCCATCTGGCTTCCCATTTCGGGGCTCTGCCTCCCCTACACCCTGCAGTATCCCAACCAAAGATGTCAATTCCAGACTACGACTAAGACAGAGTCCGCTTGTCATGGTAAAGGTTTTTGTTTTTCCTTTTTAGGTTTTAAAAGTCCAGTTTGGATGGTGTATCATCCGTATTTGGCCCATACTTTAACTGGCCTGTAATTTTACCCATCCGGGTTACCTTGCTCCCAGGTACGCTACTTTCTCTCCCTGGTTCTGGTCCACAGCAGTCTAAAGTTCCTTCTCTCTCTCTTTTCAGGTTCGTCGCTATCCCATTCCCAGCTGGCTGTATCTGGGATCCAGTGCTGTCCCAGGTAAGTACCTAGGCCCTGTTGGGCTTATATCATCCTGGCATGCCCCCTCTTGGGGCTCGCATCATATGCCCTCAGTGGGGCTGCAGACAGCTCCAGGCCACTCTGGGGCTTCCGGAGGACTCATTTCTGGTCTTCGCAGATCTCGGTCCAGTGGGGTTTTTATTCCCCCTCCAGGGGTCCAGCTAGCAAATCAGCATCAGCACGCCACCATAAAGTGGATCCATGCCGGTGCTGGCTCCAGCTCTCCTCTGGCTTGCTGTTGCTTTTCCTCTTTGATCTCTGGCATGGGTTTTTTTTTCCACCGCAGCCCCGTTCCTGCTGTGCTACCGGTCTTCAGCGGCATCTCACTGGCTCTGCACCTCTCCAGGCTCTCCTCCCTCTGGTAAGTTTCTATTCATGGTGGTGTCCCCGCCACGCTAGCATAAGAACAAGAAGTGACCAGGCATTTACAGGGATGTAGAAAGAGAGTTTGGCTGAGTGGCTTGTCCCCAATCTATATTTAAAGTTATTTTAAGGAGTGGAAACAAGGAGAGAAATTGTTTAGCACTGGATAGAGATAAGGCTAAGAGTATTGAGATTAAATTAACAAAGGGAAATTTGAGATGAATATCAGGAAGTATTTCCAAACAATGAGAAGCATTAATCTACAAAGTGCAAATCTTCCTTGTCTTTCAGTTTAATCTAAGAATCAGTTTTGTAAGAGAAGTGATAAAAAACCTCCTCTTCTCAATGCTGTTTGTTTAGGCTTATTTTTAGCAAATTGTGTAGGATTTTATTAACATTACAGAGCTTATGGTTCACCTTCTCCTCTTGTTTTCCAATTACCCAATACTTGAGAAACTTGCTGATAGGTCACATATGCCCATTTATAGTAGAAAGGTCTGTGTTCCAGTACCTTAACCAGAATAACAATGCTAATCAATATTAAATAGCTCCATTTAGACAATAGTCTGATATTCGTATTTAATTCACTTGTCTCTTCTTTCTAATACACTTTTTCACTCTTTGCTAATTCAGAAGTGAATAGATGGAATTTTACTGAACTTTGCAAAAAACTAAACCCCCAACAAAAAAGGAAAGAATTTATTTTAAAAACCAAAAAAAGCTGTGTAATGAAAGCAACTTTTCAGCTATAACTAGACTATTGCTATGGAGTTATTTCAATGAAGTATTCAAAAGTATTCTTGCAGAATACAAATCTATCCTCTTTTTGTTTTTTCACTAGATACTTCTTTCAAAGGGAGTAAAGGATTTTAAAGATCAGTTTTAGCCTTAACACAAGGACTTTGCCATCTTTTCCAAATAAGAAGTTGCCTTCAGCATGAAAGTATCATATGAAAACTTTCAGCCTCTCTTATCACTCCTTCCTTTGTGAAAGTTTGAACATCCTGGCAATTTGGTAATGAAGTCCTTCATTTATCTTAAAAATGGGTTTTCTGCACTATATCACTGGTTACATTCAGGCTTGTAATGAAGAGAAAAAGTCAGACCAAATTCAAAGAAAGACGAAGGGGCTGTGGAACCCAGGGCTATACAGATTATTTACCCATAAATGTTACAGCTATGTGCCTAGTGTTGGATAGGGCAGCATTGTACTGAAGTAATGTATTTCAAAAAGCCATGAATGCATCCGTGCTGTTGTTGTTCTAGCCCTGCAATAAGTTTTGGAATTTATATTGATCACAGAGGTGAACTGTGTAAGGTGAAGGGCGAGCAGGGCACTAGTCATAGGAGCCAGGTAGAAGCAGCTTTTATACCCAGCAGTGTACCTAGGGGGTGAGGAGAATGGTTCTGCCCTCCAGAAGTCTTGGCCACAGCAAGCACAGCCCTGGACTCAATGGCATATTGGGGACCAGCAGCCTGCACCATGAGACCCCTGTCCCAGAAGCCCAGGCTGCTAAAGCAAGAGCAGCAGCAGCTGACTTCACGTTGTGAAGAGCAGTGGCAGGTAAAATCACTACTTCACTCCAGCTCCCTTACCCTCACCATCCACCTTCAGTGGTCAGCATACTATTCCCTAATTTAGGCTCTGAAGGAGCTTGCAAACAGGAAACCTAAATGGACGAGAACCTGAGATTCATTATAACAATTGAGTTTCCCCTGGACTGGATGCCTGTCTTATTATTGAGTATATGTCTTTATACATATCCTCATACATTTCATGTTTTCTTAGCAAATGGATAAATACTCTTAGCCAAGAATAAACTCTTGCTAAGAGTATATTTATAGAATACATAGAAAAATATATTCTTGCTAAGAATATGCATATATCATTCTGTTACATATGAGATATATATTCTTAGCAATTAGATGTAGCAGAATGATGCAGCAAGTTAGGGAAATTACCTCCTTTCCCCACAATTATTCTTTTTTAAATTTCCCATTTTTAAAAAGAGTCTATGTAGTTTGAATAACATCAGAGGTAATTCAAGTGTTCTATGTAACCATAAATCAACATAATTTTATATATGTTTCTAATCTAGAATAATGGGCTTCAAGTTTTCTCAAATATGGATTTTCATCAAGGAAGAGCTTCCCTACATGTGAAAATTGCATTTCCTTCCACACCTTTCTGTTTCATTCTTCACCCTCCCACACTAATTCATTCCCCAAATAAGCCAAAATGAACATCCAAGTACAATCCCACTATAGAGGACCACCTAAAAGAAAGGGCACCAGAAGGATGGAGGGAGAGGAAGGGACCGCTTGCCTTACCCTGCCTGCACTTTCTGACCATAGATTCATAGATGCTAGGGTTGGAAGGGACCTCAGCAGATCATAGAGTCTGACCCCCTGCCTAGGCAGGAAAGAGTACTGGGGTCAGATGACCCCAGCCAGATGCCTATCCAGCCTTCTCTTAAAGATCCCCAAGGTAAGGGAGAGCACCACCTCGCTTGGAAGCCCATTCCAAATTTTGGCCACCCTTACTGTGAAGAAGTTTTTCATTCCTTTCTTCTTCTGTGCTGCGGAGGGGGTCCCTCCCCAGCCACTAGGTGTGCTGGATATTATTGTGCCCTAGGTGCAGCACTCTGCATTTGTTCTTGTTGTACTGCATCCTCTTGTGTACTGCCCACTTTTCTAACCTGTCCAGGTCTGCCTGCAATCGTTCCCTACCCTCCGGAGCGTGCACTTCACCCCACAATTTAGTATTGTCTTCAAACTAGGACAGAGTACAATTCACACCCACATCCAAGTCACTGATGAAGATATTGAAGAGAACAGGTCCAAGGACCAAACCCTGCGGGACCCCACTACCCACATCCTTCCAGGTCAATACTGACCCATCTACTACCTCTCTCTGGGTGTGACCGCTAAGCCAATTTGCCACCCACCGGACCGTGTAAGCATCTATGTCACAGCCTCTTAATTTATTTATGAGAATAGGATAAGATACCATATCGAAGGCCTTGCTAAAGTACAAGAAACGATACCCACCTCTATTCCTGTGTCTAAGCATTTTGTGACCCTGTCATAAAACGAAACCAGATTGTTCAGGCATGATCTACCTGTTACAAATCCATGCTGATTTCCCTGCTGCATTATTTTTCTCACATAGGTAATGTGTGTCATTGAGTGCTGCTGAGGGAAGAATTGACCCCATTTTTTTGCCACTGAAATCAGGACTTTGTTGTGCTCTGGACAGGGGCTCCAGCACCAAAAAGAGTGGTGTGAAAGTTTTTCCCCAGCAGTCACAAACACCACTGCCACTCTAGAGAACTAAGATTCCCAGAATACCTTGCACTTCATGACACTATCCAGATGGTACTTGCTGCTGTTCCTGTGCCCTACAAGCCAGAATATAGTGTGGGGAGGAGAGGGGAGCATTAGGCACATTTTTTCCATGTCCTCTCCTCTGCAATCTCCTCAGCACAATCTTGTGGCATATTCCTAATACCAATCTAACAAGGTGGAGAGGGGGGAAATGTGACTAGAAAACCTACATTTTTAATTTAATGGAAACTGGAAATACCACAAAGTTGTGCATGCAGCAGAGGTGGCACTACAAACTGCAAAAGTAGCTCTCTGAAAAGAATCACTTCCAATTTGCAATTCTCTCTAGCAATTTCATTCCCACTAAGTGTTATCAGACACATGAAACAGAACTGGGAACTCATTTACATTGACTTCTGAGACACAATGTATTTTCCCCCTTTAGAATACAGGACAAGTGCATTCAATTCCAGCAACACAGTTAAAAACACTCTTGGTTAAAAATGTGTTTAAATTCAGCGCTGGTAAAACATGCCAGTTTATTTGAACCCTGGACTGGTGGGCAGTGCTCACCAAAACAGTTGAAGGCCATTCCTGGGTTAATTCACAGAACATGAAAAAAGCTGTTAAAGCTCCCACACCTTGCAAAATCAATGAGTTCCTATTCTGATGTGGGAATTCTAGCTTGTATTTATGCCCACACAATCATTGCTGACTGTCATGACCCAAAGGCATGATTTTGTGTGTGCTTCGGCACCAGAATTATCCCCGCCAGGTTACAGCTTCATTGCACGGGAGAGTTTCCTATTGCAGAGGAGAACCCCGGTGCAAGGACGAGTTTCCTGCCTCTTTGCAGCTTCTTTTGCAGGGTGCATTGCTCAAGTTGCAAGAGAAATGCACGGTGCAAAAGAGTTCCCGCCACCCGCATGCAAATTCGTTCCCTGCTATTGGCTAGTTTTAAATTATTCCAACGTGGCGGCTAACGATTGGCCTGTTAGCCGTATAAGAGGCTTGAGCAGTTTCCGCCCAAGCCTAAGAGGACTCCACATCCATCTCGTGGGGACTCTGGATACACGGCAGGGTAATAGAGACCCTGTGTGAGATTCAGAGGAGCTTGGCGACCTGATCCATTGCCCACCTCTTCCCGTCTTCGAGCGGAAAGAATTTATAAGACGTATCTACGAGTCCGATTTTGGTGGCGCGCTCACCCAGAGCATCCAGAGCTCTGTTCCGTGGAGCCTAGCAAACTCCACGTGACCGTTCGTGTTGTCTGTGTCTGTAACCGCAAC